CTCACAAAAACTTGTACTTAACCTAAAAAAACAAAACAAAACCAAACCTCCCAGACAAACAAAACCGATCCAAAACAGAAATCAAAAAGCCACTGCTATCTGTAAGGGAAGAAAATTTCCTAGCTTGTAGTGTTGTGAAGGGGAGAGAGGAAGGGCTCCTTCATTTCCTATTCCTTCTGAATGTATGTGGCACATATATTTATAGGTTAATGGTACCTTTGAGGAAATACAAATCTCGCAGTGATTAACAGAATTTTTATTTTCTACAAGCCGTGCTACAAAATCCACACAGTTCCTGCCTCCTAAATGATAATTAATCTGCTGGTGTGCGTGGTCCGTCTCCAGATTTCCACAGTGCGACACTGGCGTTTCTCATTAAAATGAATCCTGGAGGCACTTTGTTATTGTTTAGACTGTGAAAACCACGGGCGGGTTTGTTTCCCCCTCTGTATGTTTTGTAAGTGCTAAACGCAGGAGGAATTTAGCACATTCTTTAAAGGACTGCACATTAATAATACATTCCCGAGCACAAAAAGAAAGTCAAACTGCTAAATGGTAGTTGTTTAAGTCAACAGCATACAGGAAAAGGCACTCTTCCTTTAATCTTTGCTACAAAGGGATGCCCTTGTAGTCGAGACAGTATCATCTACCAGTCGACCAAATCTTGCTTGATGCGTTGCTCTTGTGCCTTTTAACAGTGCTTTAGGGGGTTATTTCAACAGCATTGTAGATGACAAGGCTTGGATTAGTGAAACTTTTCAATTCCATCTTTGTTTTTGAAAAGGCTGCCTGCTGTATGGGAGCACTTGTAAGGCCTTTTTGTGCATCTCAGTCCCTTGCCATAGGTAATTATTTATTAATGTAAACCCTGCAAGAAAGATTGACTGTGTCAAGAAGAGAGCAAGGAAATAATAACCTAATAATATTCTACCCTGATGCCCTTGTCTGATCCCAGTAGGAGAGTCAGTAGTTCTGTCTTTTTACCACATTGCATCAGCTAATTCCCAAATTCAAAAGCAGTTTTGTTCAGTAGTGCTAAGACTGTACCAAAACAGTCCCGCTATTGGGATCGTGTTCCTGCCAGCTGATCAGTGTTGATAACGTTGTGCTGCTCTGCCTCTAAGCCTGTGGCAATGCTGCAGTATTTACACAATACAGAGGATTAGGGCTCTTGGAGCCACTGGTGCTAGTCTGAAATCAGCTGTCACATGGATCAAATGAGCAGGGGAATACATGCTAGGGAAGTGGTTTACTTTGGGTTTAGGTTTTGTTTTCACTCCTAGCCCCAACAGCGCTGTTCGCTTCTCTCACAAGTTGCTTTGATGTCAACACCTTCTGCTTTGTGCTTGGACAGGCAGTGCTGCCCCTGCTGTGTGTTGGGGCTCCAGGCCCTGCCAATGGGTGTGGAAGCAACACCCTGACACAGCAAATCTTGGGGCTCAGAGGAGGAGGCTGCAATGCTCCTCACTCCATTTGGCAGCTTGGTTAATTTCTGATTATCTACACGCTCTGTGAGCTACAACCTTCTGTCTGGGTTCTGACACAGCTGTTTAGGGACCTTGTTGTCCATGAATGTATTTGAACACTTCTTGCATCTGCTGGCATGGTCCTCCTCTGGGTTCCTGTGGCAGCACCTCCCACAGGCTTGCTGCTCCCTGTGTAAGGAAGAGCTTTCTCTCACCTCTTGTGAATTATTCATATTCCACCAGATACCTCCTCATTCTCACACCACAGGGATGAATTCTGACTAAAACCAGGATGCTGCTTTGCACTTTTTCCATTCACAAGCAGTAGACAGGCTTTATTAAAAACTAAATTTAAATCTTACAGATCTGTGGAGAGTGAAGGTAGAGCGAGGTTTGCACAGGCTCCTGGCAGACAGGGAGGTTTTGAGCCATCAGGTTTTGAACAGGCAGAAGTTTTGCAAAGGCTCTTAAATTACATGTAAATGTTCCATTTCAAATGACTCTGAATATAGGTTCTTTTGGTCATTTTAGGGACGATTGCTCAGACCACACAAAGCATCAACTTATGAATTTTGTCTTAAAATAACGGGCAAGTCAGCTGTCTCTTCAGCCAAGCTATGTGGCAGAGGAACAGTGTGGCTTCATCAGTTAAGTTTCCCTTATGCAGAAAAACTTTGCATTAGTTACAAAGCACAACTTCATGACTTCTTTCTTAGGTTTTTGATTTATTTTTTATTTTTTCCCCCAATGGCAAAATGCCCAGTGCAAATCAAATCCTTCAATTCAGTTTCCAAAAAGAAGAAGCTATCCTGTATGCCTGAAATATTAATTAAAAAGAAGCAAAAAGAGAAAGATTTGGACAGATCCCAAACCAGCTACTCAAATATAAATGTCTGCAACTGTCATATGAACTTCTCAGTAAATGAAACTATAATCCTTCCCTCCTAATGTGGAAATACTACTTGATTAGTCCAATTAAGAGCAGATTTCTGACAGAATATTACTTTAGGGTGTAGTTTCCTTAAGGATGAAAAGTTGCCAATTTAGAAACAACTGTATGTTACTCTTGTTAATAAAAAATAGAAACGAGGAATGACAGTAAGTTAACCATTGGAATTACACATTGGCTTGAGTTTCCCTTCAAAGTAATAAAAAATATATAGAGCAATTAGAGTATTTTTACATGGAGTGATTTGGTAAATCAAGATCCTCCATCAAACTTTTAATTTGCACAAGTAGAACGCTGATGCATTTTGGTTTGTTTGGTGATGCATTGATTGGTTGGGTTGTTTTTTACTGTTCCATTTTAAGAAACAGTTCACTTGAACAAAACCCCTTATTTGACCCTGGTAACCTCTATTTTTTTGGTATTATTTTGGCTTGCTGTCATGGTGGTCTGTTTGTTGCTGAGAACTGTTTTGGGAGGCCTGTGTTTAGCTGTGCTGCCCATGCATGTGAGCATCTCTGGGCTGCCCACTTACACAGTTAGCTGCCTGTGCTAGCCTGGGACCCTCACTTCTCCCAGCTGCCTGGGGTTTGGTTTATTTTAAACACTGTACTTAGCTGGCCCAGGACCAAGTTAGCCTGAGATCTCCTTGCAATCATTTGTGAGTCCAGCATATGGCACCGAGAAAGCGGGGAAGCCGTGCCCCTTGAAATGCCCTGGGCAGTGCTGGGGGCTGCGAGGGCTCCCTTTGGGGTGAGCAGGAGGATGTGCCAGCAGGATGTGCCAGCAGGATGTGCCAGCAGGATCTGCCAGCAGGATGTGCCAGGCAGTGCCAGCAGCCAGGGAAGTGCCCAGTAGCCATGGGGTGAGCCTGAATGGACACACTCTGCTCTCGCCCCAGGCATGGCCAAGCTCCCCTCAGCATCTGCAACGTGGGGAGCCAATTTCAAAACCTCCATTGTTTTGTGCAATATAGTGTAAATATTTAACAGGGTTGCTTAAAGTTCTTTGTGTTTGCTTAACTGAATCAAGGCAAGGAACATCAATTTTCTGGGAATATTTCTGCTCTGCAAGATCAACAGAATTTCATATTGAAAGATAGTTTATCCATGCAGTCACGCTTATTTTCCAGTTGCCCAAATTAAGACAATCTATAAAGAAATGTTCATTTATTAGCAACTGGTGTTTGACAGTTTATTTCATGTAAGCCTCCAGCTTTCCTTGGCAAGCTTATTTGCATAATGTGTTATTATGTCTAAATGGAAAACTAAATGCCTCCATGTGGTCTTTAAATGACAAGTGCTTGTCAGCTTCATGCAATATTCAGAAGTAATAGATCCAAATCACAACAGCACTCACTATGATGTACAAGGAGAAAAAGAAACAAAGCCCAAAAAACTTGTTGCGTATCCTTCCCTGACAAATTTACACTTTGGTACAGAATTGTCAATTAGAGTTTTCATTTGTTAAACAGTTGAGTTCAACTGTGAAGGCATTTACTGAAGCTTTATTCTGCACTGCTTTTGAGTAATTACAATTCACACTGCTGTTTTTTTGTTTCTTTTTTTTTTTTTTTTGCCCCCTTTCAAACAACACAGCTCAGGGAATAAGCTTCAGAAAACCTTGGCAAGGTATACTCAAGAATTTCTGCCTTAATTACTTCTTAATTACTTCTGAAAACATGAATGCTCCCTGACAATGGTAACAATAGCTTTGGAAAAATCTATTATAAAGTTCACATTTGAAATAGACCTTGGGTCTTAAATTTGTACAGTTATGTATCAATAATTTTTTAAATACAGAAAATTGGTATGTTTGTGAGTGGTTCCAGATTATTAGAGAGTTCAATGATAATAAAAAGTCACAGTGCTCATGTAAACATTGTCTTCATGCCTTTTCCTTGCATGTGTTTGGTGTGCTGCTCTGTCCCTCACAGCCCCTCTACCCTGAGCACACCAGAAATACCAACGTGGCTTTCACCAAAGAGGAAAAGTCAAAATTCTGCTTTAACACCAGGATGGGATGTGGTGTGCTGGCACAATGAAGGGCTGGGGTTCAGCCAGGAAAAAAACCTGCTAGCAATTAATGCTACAACATGGTACTGTCAAGGGCAGTTGTGACCTTTAGCAGTGCCACATTTCCTTTTTGATAAATGCTATTATTTCCATCTCATGTTAAAGGTTAGAAAAAGTACACAGTATTTTACATATAAGATTAATTTTTAACTTTTAAAATAGATTGTTACCTTGTTTCATATTCATTGTGCTGCATGGAGTGTTTTCAGTTGGATTTGACATTAGCAAGTTCTTTTTAAGTTGGCATTAACTGAATGAAACGGTTTGGAGCAGAGGGTTGGGGGTTTTTTTTGTGTTACACAACAGAAGTCCAGAAAGAAGATAGGGAGGAAACAGAAAATATTAAAAAGAATATGCTGTCTCCTGGGTAAATCTGATGCAGGGAGAGAAAGAAAAACGGCCAGATGCTGCATGCAATTTTAGCACTAGTTTCTAACCCAGGAAAAATGTATTAGTGTTGTTCTGTTGAGATTTTTGCTTCTGATTGCCCTTTTTGGTTCCTCTGTGTTGCAGGATGAGGAGACCAGGAGATGTGGCTATAAAGGACAGAAGGAAATGAGAAGAGACATAAGCTGATGGAAGGAAAATAGCACAAGGGGCAGAACAAGTAGCAGGGACTCACTCACACCTCGTAGGCTGGCTTTGGGGTCAGACTGCTTTTGGGTACCGTCAGTCACCACCATCTGGTCACTTTGCCTCTTAGTAACTGAACAATGAAGGCTCAGAGAAATGCCTGATGGTGTAGGTTGTAGGGTTTGGGAAGTGATGGAGCAGGCAAACAAAAAATAACACTTGATCTTCTCATGTGCTATCCTTTCTAACCACCACTAAGCATTGTGGACAAACAAGTCAGCAGCCACACACTGTTAACATTAGTTACTAAAAAGTTTTTTGGGGTTTTGTGCCTGTTCTCTCTGCACATGCTAGGTTACCTTTGTGCATTGTGTTCAATAAAAAAGGACCAAATTCTGGTTCCAGAAGCCGAGAGAGGCTGGAAGCACTCTGTTCATGCCTGATGTTGGATTCCTGGCAGTGGTGAGCTGGGGCTGGCAGGCTCCTGAGCGAGCTCTCATTAGGGGAGCAGCAACAGGAGCTGCAGTTAATGAGGAGGTGGGAGCTCCTGGCTCGGCAGCGTGTCCGTGGTGCTGGTAATTCCCTTTGGGAGGTCAGGGTCACACATAAAGTAAGGGAACACTTTGTCGGTGTTATTAAATGATGTTTCAGTCCCAGGCCGTGGATGATTTCAGCAGCAGCTCTGCTTGATGCAGTTGGAGTAATTAAAGTGGTTGTATCACTTGCAGCAGGCCTGGTGTCAGCGGGACAGGAGGCGTTTCCAGCAGGGCTGACCTGTGCCTTGTGCTGCCTCTGGCTGCCTGAGCTCAGCTGCTGGAGGCTGCCGAGGCTCTGCTCGCTGGGTTTCAGCACAAAGCCTCTCACACAGGGGGCATGTCGTGCTCCAGTGACCCACCTTCATGGGGACACTGTCATTTCCTCCGCCTCAGGTTATAGCTTTGACTCACCCAGTGAAAGAAAGCACAACACCAGTTGAAAACAGCAGGAAGGTTATGATGGCTCTGACCTGTCCTACACCTGGCTCTCATCAAACCACATCAGTCCTCCCCAGGACAGGCCCTGGAGGCCATGGAAGCTCCTGCCAGGAACTCCCTTTGGGCTGGGACAAAGTGGGGCTCCCCTGGCTAGGTAGTTGATTTGCACTTTGACCAACTTAAACCATTAAGGAAATGCTCAGATATCCTAAATAGCACAAAAGTTACCTAGGAAAGTCCAAAGACTTGCTCACAAATATGTAAAAATAGCCAAAAAGGTAGTAAAAATGAATTATTTCATTTGCTGCATGACCATGCAAATAAAGCTATTGCTGTAGCAATCAGAGGTGGATTGCACATACTTGACAGCAGGTGACTTGCATGCTCCATCTCCAGTTGCTCTTTTAGATTCTTAGGCTCAAAATGCTGTGCAGCATCATGTCTTCTGCATGAAAACAAGGATAAACTCTACATCAGTATGTATTTTTTACCTGTCAAAAGAACAGGTAAAATTATCTGAAGGAAATGGCAATCAGACTGGATCTCAGAGTAAAGTGTCCAACAGGGTGAACTTTTCAAACTACCACCTCTAATTTTACAGCTATTAAAACCCAAGGGCATTTCTTTAAAAATCCTCACCTTTTTTATGGTACCCTTATTTGAGATTAATTATGTATGTAAAATTCTCAATGAAGAATGCAGCATTTGAGGAACTCATGTTGAGTTTCAGCAGTTAGTCCAGTGATATTAAAATGAAACAGGACCAACTTTCTAGGGGGCAATTATAACACATTACGGTGTGAATTGCACACTGTGATTAAACTCATAGGAGGTACTCAGCAGCAGCATTTGCTTTGAAAGGGGCACTGATTACCATTTGTACTATGCATTTTGGCAATCAGAAATCATTATGGAAAATATTACATCAACTAAACAAATACCCCCTTAGCAGCATGAAATATACAGATTTTTTTATTTTTTTTTAAGTAGTCTTATGCATGTAAATAAATACTTTTTTTCTGCATGGGACTAGCACTTGATCAGCACATCAAATTAGTATGCTGTCAGGCTTCAGCAGGACCATGAGCTGCAGAATGAATGGTTTAAAGTTAAAACACCTCTTGGGGTTGGGTTTCTCTTCATGACTTAACTTCAGGCTGGTTGCAATGACACTCTAAACCATCATTTACTTGTGATTTATAAAAATAGCCTTGTGAAAGAATTAAACTAGCAAGAGGTGTTAACATTTACTTTGGAAGTCCTGAGTTATTTCTATTAAATGGCTTTCCCTAGGATTTAAGATAGGGGAGTCTTAAGGCTCTTACTACCTATAAAATACTAATGGGCCTGTGTTGCAAAGGCACTATATTTTTCTGTCATGTTTTGACACCTAATATTTCAAGGGATTTGAAGAGAGCTCTTGTCTAATGGCATTAACCTGTTTTATTAAGGCATTTTTGCTACTGACTTCTGAGGGTGCTTCAGACAGTCACATGCAGCAGCACAGGGCTTTTGCATCTCCCTGTGAGCCTGTTGACCCACAGCCATTCCTTCCTTCTCCCTTCCCTTCCCTTCCCTTCCCTTCCCTTCCCTTCCCTTCCCTTCTATAGATAAAGTATAATGCTAATCCTGTAACATTTTTGGCAGCTGGAGACTGTGTGATTGCTATAAAGATGTAAACTCATCTTCACTGTATCTTGATCATTTCCCCTCCTTCTCTTTCTACCATACCATTTTGATTGCTTAACATAAGGTCTAATGTCAAGTAATAATAAAGCAATTACATGAAATACAATTCATTCTAAAGTGCATTAAGCAAGAACTAAATTAAGACACATAATTAACAACCAAAAAGAAAAAAAAAGGAAGATACATTAAGGACAAAATGTTTTAACCCCTATATTTCTTCTTGCATTAACTACCTTGGCATTAACTCAAAAGTGGTAGAGAAAAAATATAGATTCTATGCAGACACAGTAGGGCTTTTACTGATTTATGACAGGAGATACACAGATCTGTCAGGCATGATCCTTTCTATATAGTAATAGACTCAGTTTAAACTGTCATGCTAATTTTTTTCCTTGTCCATCTGGTCCAATTATTAGAAAATTGTACTCAAGAAGGCTCCAATAACAAACATGAAACAGCTCAATATTTCAAGTTGCCAGTATTTTTCTCATATTTGTTCTTTTTAATTAGAGAGCATACCAAGTTCCAACCACAGGACCCAGGCATTTATTAAGTGATAGAGAAGCAGCACTATTTTATTGACTAATTCCCCAGGCTTTTATTATGTTTCCTAGCAAAATGTGATTTATAGGAAAGTTAATAAAGGTATCCTCACCTACTGCACCTGGAGACAGGACATCTACAAGGGGCAGACATTCAGACTAATAAGTGAAATCACAAATCTGGAAGCTGAAATTGGATTTTATTTCTGTGAGTACAGCAAAGAACTGATGCAGGCTTGAGCATTCAACATCTCTACGCTTAACTGGCTTTGCCTATAAAATGAATGTAATAGTTTTCCTAGATTTTCAGAAACATTATGCTAACTAATTATAGTACTTAAATTTTTTAATGTTTTAATGCCAAAAAAATCAATAAAGTTTTGATTACTTTATAACACGACCCATTTCTTCCTCAGAAATGTCTGAGATTTTTTTTTTTTTTAGTGACTGCATTCCTGAATTGAAAGTAACAACCTGAAAAGTGTTTTATTCCAAATTTCTTGTCAAGGTTTGATGTTTTTTCCCTTTTTATAGCATTTCCTGTATGATTTGTTCACGAAGGGAGCATTGTGCCATGGGAGCATTCTGAGGGCTCTGCTGATGCCTGAAGGGTGGCATCAGGACAGAGGCACACTGGGAAGCTTGGCCCTGGTACATACATCCGTTCCAAACCCAGCTACGAGAAAAAAATAATACAAATTGGACAAAGGCAATTTAAAATAAATGCATTGATTCTGATTCTTAATAAGGTTAGGCATGCAATTGTGTGATGACTAATTTGTGTGCCTAATTACCATGATTGTATGTGCAAATCAAGTAATTATGGAAGTAAATAACCATAATCATTTATTTTCATGGGTAATTATTCAATTTTATGCACAATGGCAATAATTGGGTGTGCAAATTAAGCATGCAATTGTGCATGCATATTCAACACACACTTGTGTGTCTAATCTTTCCATAAATCATTTTTTTTCTGATGATTTTTCTTGTTTTCTATCCTTTACTCTGATGTAGCTTTACTGGGACACTCTTGCTTGAGGTAAGGATTTGAAAACTCTTCTATTCCAAGCCTTCTTGACTTTTTACTGGTTGATAGTTCTCCACTGCAAATGGACTGCTCTCTTGAAAGATGGCTTTTTATTCTTGGTCTTAGTGTACTCTTTTCCTAATTAGGCAGGGAATTTCTAAATGGGAGATTGAAATAGATACATTCTATAATTTCCCAAAATTTCAAATACATAATTTTGTAAGCTATTAAGGACACTTCATAGAAAAGGGTTTTTTTGAACACAAATACACAGTTACCTTGGGGGTTCAGACATAATAGCGCCTTTGTCCTGAAGGGGGACTTCATCCTGCACTGCATTGGAGGAGATGTCCCAAAGCTGCCGTTAAAGTCAAGGAAAACATTGCACCTCTCTGCTTACCACACAGGTCTGATTTACAAAAGCACTTCGGCACTGACCTAATTCAGCTCCCACTTAAGACACGTAGAAAGAAATCCCATTGACCTCAATACAAGCGAAGTTTATCACTGCTGAGCGCTTCTATAAATGTCACCCCACTTTTCTGCCTTCAGACCTGAATTTGTAGGCACATAATCATCTTTAAGCATATATGCTCAAATTCTTGTAGCTGCAGGAGCCCAAGGGACACTGCTGTCAGCAAGGTGCTGGTGCCCAGGCGCCAGGCCGGTTATTCCAGCGTGGTTATTCCTTCCAGGGAAGGTCTGTCCCAGACGGAGCTGCCCGGCTGTTCCCAAGTCACGTCTGTGGCCAGGGTACAGCACATGCAGCTCAGCCCAGTCTGGGCAGCTGTGATGGGTCCTGCCTCTACAGTACCCCCTGCCACAGGGGCTGTAGTTTGTCACTCTTTCCTCCCCACCTCTTCCTGCAGCAGAGAGGCAGGGGAAGCACTCTGGCTTCACTCTGCCTGGGAAGGAGTGGCTCATTGCTCTGTTTAACCAAGGGATTTCATTTCCATTGTTTGTCTTTTGTGTCCCTTTCCATTCAGATAGATTTCCCCAGCCTCATTGATGCTAATCTCATTGTTCAGGAATCAGCAAAGGGTAATTAGTCTCTGCAATAATGATCTATCTATCACAAGATCATGGCCTTTCATCACACACCATCTCAGATGTTTCCTAACTAAGCCCAGGCAAAAAGGAGCAGAACTGTTCCATGATGTTCAGTGTCAGCTGGGGA